AGAAGAGCTCTAAATCGGCATTTGCTGATGGAGGATTGTGCTTGTCTTAAGTGAAGGGACTTAAACATTAAAAAAAATCTGTCTACCAGAATTTTTCCATTTTTGTCAGCAGAGTGGTAACATTTGCTGGCTTATACTGGGGAAACCATAATACCAATTGCTAAACAACATAAACAGCTTGTGATGGAATCCTAGAAATGGAAATAAAAGGCAAAACCCTAAATGATTTTACTTCTATGACTCTTCAGGAGGGTTCTACAGAACTGTCAATATAGTTGTTGGTAAATGCTTTATGATTTTCTTCAGTGGATATATGGGTCATATAAGTCATTTGGGTTGGATTCTACTCTCTTATGTATCTCAGTGTAACCATGTAGTGAGGCTAGAAGTTGGCCCCCTGCCAGCATGTCACACTTGGACTTAGTGGCCTGGAATGGTCTAGGCTCTGCAGGAATGTGCAATTTCCAAACTTGCTCTGGGAAACACTTTCTTTAAAGCTAATGAAAACTCACTCTGTCTTCTGTCCCCTTTCTCTCACTCAAATCAGTTTTTTGCATGTATTGCTCTCTTCATATGAGGATTTAAACTTTCTGACAGGTAACAGGGCACCAGTATAACTTAGGATCACACACACCAGGCTGCAAAAAGCAAATGCACAGAAATTTGTCTGAGGCAACAAACAGGCAAGAAGACACATAATGAAAAACCTGGACCTATGGAAAGTCTAGTTTCAAGACTCCAGCCAAGTCAGGTATCTCTGACACCTGTATTCCTTTGTGCATCTTCCTAAAAGCTGGTGAGAGGCATGTGGAATTGCTTTACTTGAGTTTGCATAACTGAAAGTTTATCTAACTGAGGTGAACCTGTGTGCAGATTTACTGATATCCAGGCAGCCCATGGCACATGTTACTGTTACCTCTGGAACAAGAGCAAAAACATTAACATGATAATTCCTTTTTTGCCTCTTTCATCCTCCTTCTCCTCGTAGTTTCTTAGGGTGATGCAGAAACATGACATCCTTGCTGTTTCAAGCTAAAACTTCCCGCTCCATGAATGGCGCACTTCATACCAATTTTTAGAGTCTGTTAGGAGCTCTATTTTGAGGATATCAGCCATATTTTTTCAAAAGAATCAGGTCCTCTGTTACATCCCTTTGCAGCTCCAAATGGCCACCACAGCCATTGGCTTTCTCTGCAGCTGCATGCTACTCTTGGAGCAGACCTTGAAGGACAGGTGGAGGAACACCTGCTCCAGCAGGGCTCTGATGGAGTGTCTGGAAGAGGTGAAGCTGCTGCACGCAGCGACAGGGCTTGGCTCCACCAGCTCTGTGCAGCATCAGCTCAGACATCAGCAGCACCATGGCTGTGCTAGAATCAGCTGAGGGCAGCTGAAGCAGTGCTACTAATCCTGAGCAGAGGAAAATGCGTCTACTGCTACACTATTCCTTGTGCCTCCACTAGCTTCCTCCAAGCTAAGTTGCTTGTACCCCTGCATAGCACTGAATAACACCATTGCCAAACCCTACTTAAATATGCAATGAACTTCTTACAAACCAAGCCTGCATCATTACACCCTCTTTTATTATATAAGCCACCTCATTTTATATTTCAAGGAAAAGCAGTGTACTAAGAAGATGGAAAACAAATCAAGCCTTGCACTTCTAAAACCACTCCCAACTGAAATATAGTTATGCACACAGGAGAAAATCAGTGGAGGACAGATTTCTGCAAGCCCCAAAGAAGTAATCCACCTTCTTTGTAGTCTACACAGTCCTCCATAGCAAACTCACTGTGTTCAGCTGCCAAAAAATATTTTTGCCTGCCTGCATTATGAATTTGCATACTATCCAGCAAAAACAGGTCTTCCTGTATGCATTTTTAACTTTGCAGCAAAACATACTGCTAGCAATTACTTACAAAGATGCTCTTTAAATATAAATTAGAAAGTGTGTATAACTCACTGATACATAGTAATAAAATAATCCCTAAATCACTTAATACATTACACAAGATAAATAACTTGTCTTTTGGACATTAACAGAAAGTTTGCATTAAATTATCTTTAAAAATCATTCAAAACTCCCTCAAAAAAACTAAACCAAAGCCAACAAAAAAAACCAACAATAAAAAACATAAAACCCCTAGACTGTCACAATTATTGCACAACTAAAAATAAAAATAAAAAGCTTTGGAAAAAACATACTTAACTACTGGGAACTACTGTAGTTATTAAAAACCCTAGATACTTCTGAACACTTTGCTACATTCTTCCTAGAAGAACTTAGTTATCTACAGAAAACCTGGTTTTACTAATGAAATATAAAATATAACACCCACCTTTTGGCTGAATGGAATAGCCATCTTCAGGATTTAATTATTAGGGAGACTTTTACATTTGTTTCCTATATTGTATCTCAATGAAAAAGAAAACAACTGTCACTTTCACTTGCTCTTTGCATAATTTAGGATCCAGTTGCACACTCAAGACATTTACATAATTCCCATTCCTTTCATTAATATTCTATATATTTGAGAGTATTTTTTCTTTCTAATGCTGGGTATTCTCTATGCCATTAAAATCCTCTATTAAAGGGATCATGTTGAATCATTTTCAAGAAAATAAAAGGCTGTCTTATCCTATAGTATTTTCTGACAATGATGTAGGAAATTTATTTTGCTATTTTTGTTGGGCATTTATTTTCCTAATTTATTATAATTATTCATTGAGCTTTGCTGAGGCAGGAACCATGTCTCTTCTATGCCAAGGCTCTTTGTAAGTGCAATCAGGAGGATACAATCATGACCTGGGCCACCAAGTTACTAGCTCTGCTACATCTTGTGTTGGGTTTAATTTTTTGGTTCTCCATTAGCATAAAACTGCTGATATGTGGGAAAAATTGACAACAAACCAAGTGAAAAGGTACGTTGTTCCCAGGAAGGCTAAAGAAAGCATGCAGAAGTCCTTCTGCTTTGATTAGATTTTGTTCAGAAACAGATATTCATGTTGTTTCCATGTAATAAGACCTTTGGCTTCAAACTAAAGGTGATGTTCCTTCCAGCTGCAGATTTCTAACGTGGCTGAGTGGCCAAGCACGTTTCTTCTGCTACACTGCTCAGCCTGTGTGTGCCTGTTACACTGCAATTAGGGTACAACGGATCAGCATAGACCTTAGGGCAGGTGAGGACCCCCAGTCAACTTTCCTCCTTGTGTACTGGAATTAGTGGATGGCGTGTAACTCAACAGAGGGCTTAATAGGGTTTCCTCCACAAAAATCTGAGGGAAACACTTCCATTGATTTTAAAGAGACCGAAACCAAATCCATTTCAATTCCTCTCCTCTGTTCCACAGACATGATACATACAGGTACTCAAACTGCTGAATAAATCATGCACATGAAAACAAATACAAACGGGCACAGAAAACTGATGGAAATTCAACAATATTAAGTAATTAAGGCAAACAATCTGCTGGATGCCAAGGGGAATGCTGTGCCTGACCACTCCCACACGGAAGCCAATGCTGCTGAGCTTTGGGATAAAATAGGCATGGTACTCTCTACTTCCCTCCTCTGCTTGATCTTTCCAAGGAAACCATCTTGCAGGTGGCTCTTCCTGGACTTACTGTGTGGGACATAACCTGTGGATTATCTACCTTATCATCTCCTTTGGCAACTCTCTAAAACTCCTCTCTGATTGGCATCACTCCCTGTGCTATACAGCTCTAGAAGCAGAGCAGAAGTTAGAAGCTCACCGCATGTTGGTAACTTCCTACTACGGCACATTCTTCTGTGCTTTGTTCCTCTAGGATGAATCAACACATCTGTCCTACCATTAGGTTTTAAGAAAAGCAGAGAGCAAATCATGCCTATTCATCTTCAGTTATATCAAACTTTTCAAGTAAGAAGTGAAATGGTGGATGAGACAAGGACAAAGCAGCCATCGACACCTCAGCCAACATCCCTTTCTCAGTGTGCCTTTCACTTCAAAAGAGTAATTTCTGAAGGAAATCTGCAGGTATGTTTTAAAATCTAATGTCCAAATAATTACATGAATAGTTTTGGGGTTTGTGTATTACTGGGGAAACTACTTCCATATGAAAACATATTCTGTATCAAAATGTAGGCAAGGAGGAAAAGAAGAAAGCAAATAAATACATGCACAACACAGAAACTCTTCTGTGCAAGCAACCCTTCTGAAATGTTCAACAGGTCTGCATGTCCAGAAAGAACTGCAGCCAGTCAGTCATGCTACAGTTATTAAGCCTTCCTCTAAAACACTCCATGTGAACTTTGGCTTTCCACTCTTATCTGGAGCATTATCTTCCCAAACTACAGTCACAAAGACTACTCAAATAGCAAGGTGATAAAAGGGATGATTCTATCCAATTTTTCCTTCCTCTTTCAAATCATTAATTCTCCAGCAAGCCATGATGTTGTTTCCTGTAATGAAACTGCTTTCCTGATGGAATTGCTTTCTGTAATGACTTACTATACTTCTGTCTCCTTTCTAATTCAAGCACTGATACACTGCTGTAGAACTTGATTCATACTGATTGGTAAAAAATGGAATACACTAGGCCTTGACATTTGCTTGAAAGACTTCGTTTATAAAGTGTAAACACATTTAAATAAGGAGCATGTAGCGGCCTCAGAGGTACATCTGGTCACACTGTACCTCTCCCAGCTACCAGACAAATCAGAGAATACTGCTGATCAATATGAGCAAAGAAGCAATGCTTGTTATTATTCCCTCCTCTATCTTCTGTCACCTACTGGAAGATGCTTATCCCCATTAACAGCACACAAAACAAGCAGACATCAACTTTGATACAGTGGGATTTTAAACCACCCACTGGTAACAAATGTTTCTCTTCTAAACAATACATCATTATTTTTAAATTAAACATTGACCTACATAAGCCTCCTTGGAACTTGTGGTGCTCAGTTATTATCAGAGATCAGAGAGAAAACACACGTCTTCAAGTATTATAGATTCTTTTTCTTTTTTTTTGCTGCTATCACTGATGTTGAAGTAGTAGTAGTACAAACTGGACCAGAAAAAAGTTATGTTCCCCGTTTTAAAAAGAACAGCATGATAAAAGGCAGTCTATCAAAAAGAGCAGTCTTTAATCCCCCTATGAGCTTACATCAGCTACTGTAGCAAACACAGCAGAACCACCACAACAAGCCAAAAGCCACACTTCTCCACGTAACACTGAATGGCTCTCAACCCTTCAATCTTTCTGAGACCCACCACAACGGTTAAAAAGAAAAGAAACACCTGAAAACAAACAAACAAACAAAACAGAAAACAGCCCCCCACCCTCCAACCCCATGACTGATTAGAGTTAATGCCCTTCTGTTGGGCACCAAGAGACTTTTCCAGTTTTACTGCCTCCTTCGCTCCCAGGCACCTCCGCAAACCTAAAGCAGGCTGCCCTGACATTTTCTGGTTTGGACTTTATGAGAAGGTTAGCATTTTCCTCTCTTCAGTCTCTGCTTGTTCATTTGAGGCGTTGAGTCACATTAGCCAGAGCAACAGCAAAGGCTTGCACTGCTGAAAATGGATACTGAAAGTCCAAAATGTAAGCATTGCCATCAATCCTTCCAAACTGCATCACCTGGGAAGCAGGGGAAGAGGAGAAGGGAAGGAAAAAGAGAAACAAGGTCAAAAAAAGTGAATCACAGAAAAGAAACCAGAGAAGAATAAAAGCAAATTTTTGCTCCTTTGTAAGAACATCTCACCTCCTGAGATAGCATATGAACGGGGATACTCACACAATGGGGTATGATACCAAAGAAGATTTAGAGCATTGTGCTGTTTGTCTGTACAGAGTACAGTACAGACTGCAGTATTTGACTATAGCATAAACTGAGCTTCAAAACATGCCAGACTGTACAGAGCATTGCTGTAAGTATATTGTCACCAGTTACTTCAGCAGATGTGGGTTACACCAGCCTCATACTTCCTGCAGGAAAATCCCATTCTCTTCCTTGGAGAGATGCTATCATTAACCCTTCAGGAAAACAGATGATGTTTTCAAAGAAAGGAGCTTTCAGGGAAGGACAATAACCAGTCTCCTGACTCTGGACTTGGTAGCAGGTAAGCTGGATGTTCTTGGCAGTTCTGTTTTCCTTTGCATAAACTTCAGTAGCACATAATTACACAGAGAATGAATTAGCAAAGGGGCAGCGGGACCTGTTTTGAAATGTAAAGCAAGGCTAGTCAGGTTGTTAATTGTTCTTCCACAGGGAATGTCTGAGGTTTGGGTTATTGTTACTGCTTTTTAATTCACTTCATCAGAAGCCCAGATCACACTTGCTCTATCCTGAGGAGGCTTGAGCTACACTGGAGGCTGTCTGTACAAACCGAGTCACGTTTTGCTCCCCCACCAGCAAAACCTATGGCCAGGTGATTTTTGCACAGCTGTCCACAGACACATATCCACAGCCATTTAACTGAAGAAGAAAGGGGTATAAATGATGCTGATCACTGCATTTTTAATAAGCTGCTGTTAGACAATCAAAATTATGAGACTACCACTGGTCATGCATGTTGGATATTTAAGACATCTAACTCCCAATTTAAATCACAGGGAGTTGAGAGCCTCGAAGTCAGAGTACAGAGAAGGGACAGCTGGACAAGGAAATAAATGTGTGTTTCCTGAGTTTCAGCCCAGTGTCCTGCTGACTGGTACCACTTAATAGCCTGGGTTTGCTGTGGTAACATCCCACTTGGGCCAAGCTGAGAGAGCCTAAAATGAAATGCTTTGATTTTTTAACTCTCCACAGACCCCTCTGCCCATGGGTGGTTCAGAAGCAGTCCAGGAGCACTTTGGTCTGGGGAGGGTCAGTGCCTCCCTCCTCTATCACTAGGAACCAACTCCCAAGACTTGGTAACCCACAAGGTGGAATTTCATCATGGAGGGAACCTAACTGCTTGCCCTTTGTCTCTGCCTTAGCTATCTGCTGACTGCCTAACCTCTGTGAGCATCACAAGAAGGAGCACTGTTCACTCAGCTCGCTGCCATCCACAACCACTGAAGGCAAATGCAGCTGCTGTTGGGGAGGTCTGTTGTGTTTATTACAAAACCCACCTTCCTTCAGCAATGAGAGCCAGTGAGACTAAAGGAGGCACTTATTCCCACGTCTGACTGGAGCGAGACCAAACATATTTTGTACCTTTGCTTTACAAGTGAACTTCATCCTCCTTTCTGAATCCATACTTTTAAAGGCTGGTTTTTATCAGCCATGTGGCAAAGCTTTGTTTCATGGAGCAGCTAACGTGCATGGGACGCACTCAGCCACAGGAGAGGAAGAACTTCTTTCTGGCATGGCTTTTCCAGCCTTTGCCACACACCCCAGCCCACATATGTCACCCCCTCCTACCTGTCGTCCTTCCAGCTCAATCTGGAAGTTTTTTGCTGACTCCTGAGTCACCCGCCCTCCGAAGTCCAGCTGGTAAACTTGTGTTGCCTCATTCCACAGTGGCTGCTTGTTGGCCATCACATACACAAAGCCCTGGCTCCCCAGTCTCCCGTCCTCCTTCTCACTGGCCTTTCGGCACTTGAATTCATCCAGCTCACTGGATGTCCTTAAACTCCTTTTTGTTTTCCAACCCTTTTTGCTGCCCTGGCTTTGGTTCATCAGTTCATCCCCACTGATAAAAAGCTCTGGCTCGCTCTCTGAACTGTCCTGAAACTCACTCGTCTTGTTTAGCTTCTTGGACTTTAGCTGATCTTTCTGACTCTTGACTTTCTTCTTCTCTCTCCCCAGCCGAGGGCTGGATATTAGCGAGTTGAAGTCGGTCAGTGTCCTTGCCTCCTTTTTGACCTTGCCCTCGGTGATGGCCTGCACGTTTCCTTCCTCAGCTCGACTGTCCAGGCGCTTCCGGCTCTTCTTGCCAAATTTGTCCGTCCTTTGAGGAACGGGGCTTTCCGTCAAGGAGAGCACCTCCTGGAAGGTGTCTGCTGTCTCCACCATCACCTCTGTGCCCACGTGGCCCTGCAGCTCTGGCGGCGGAGGAGACATCACCGGCTTCTCCACCACAAGGAGCGGCTTGGGGGGCAATGTGCCCTGGGGGTTCTGTACAGGTGGGCAGGTGCTGTAGGAGCTCCATGGGTGCAAAGCGATTGGTGGCAGCTGTAAACTAGAGCAGGCGCTGCTTCCTGGGTACATGGGTGGCAAGGGGCAATAGGAGAGGTTGGATGGATAACCTGGCTGAAGTACAACTGTGGGCTCCTGCTGTGCAAACTGCGTTGGGGCCAGAGCTTCTTTGGGGGAACAGGGGGGCTGCATTCCCTGAAGGGGAGGGGCATTGTAGCTTCCTGGGTAAGGTACTCCAACCCCATAACTCGTCTGGAAAGTGGCAGTGGGACTGGTTGGAGACTTGGGGGAAACAAACGGCACTCGAGACATATCCAGATGTTGAGCTTGACCAATGATGAGAGGAGTGGGTTTTAGAGGGTTGGGCATTGAGTTCTGAGATGTCCTTTCCTGAGGAACCCATATCTCTTCATTCACTATAGGGTCCCACTGGTATGGTGGTGGCCGTTTGACACTGAGGGCAGCCTCTGCCATGGCCACAGGTACATGCCGTATTGATTTCTCCACTGGGCAGTGCTGAGATAGGGCCTCATCTTCCGTGAAGGCAGAGTTGATGTAATCTGCTCGGTCACGGGAATTGTCAGGTGGGCTCAGCAAGCTGTAGGAGGACTGGGAGGCCAGAGGTGAAGTACTGACAGAGTGAGCGATGACGGAGCTGTGCTGGGAGCCACTGCCCGTGCTCAGATCAGGTCTCATGCCACCAATACTGGAAGTGCTGCTACTAGCATTGGCACTAGCGATGCTGCCCACACCACCGGCGCTTGTGCTGCTGCTACTGCCGCTGCTGCTGCACTGGCTGCAGGTGTACAGGGCGGTGGGCACTCGCTGCTGGTACTGCGCCGTCACAGCGCCGCTCTTGGCCTTCAGGGGAAGCTGCAAGGTGGCTCTCTGACCATCCACCAGCTGAGCCATCTTCAAGGCTGCCTCTCTGCTGTTCCTTCGCAGAGTCGCATGGATGATACTGCTGTCCAGCCTCTGCGTGATGCTTCTGCCCTGGGACAGCTGGCTGGAGATGTCGGGGTAGGGCGGCGGGTCCCCGCTGGGGATGGAGTAGCGGGGCACCGTCAGCCGGTTCAGCGTGGCGCTGCTGCAGGGCTGCTGCATCTTCTTCTCGGCGGCGGTGATGCGCAAGGTGGCCGAGCTGCCGGGCCC